GGAGCCGCTTTCTGCAAGGAAACCTCATGCGGCAAGATAGTCTGTGTGCCCGAGAGGAGCGAACGCAGCTGAAAGAGCCCCCTGGCAGGTGCAAACAAGCAAATCCCTGGGAGGAAAATGCAATTTTGCACGACTCATCTACCGCTAAGGGAGACAAGGAGACGCTACTTGGCAGGGGGGCACCTACAGCTGTGCCCAGCACTGGGCAGCTGCCTCCATGCAGGTTGAACGTCACAGAAGGTTGCAATGGTCTTTTCTGGCTTCTAGGGCCTCAAACCGCTGAATTATTTTAAGCCCTTCCCCCTTGCCCTGGCTCCGTCTTCTCCAGCCTTTGCAACGTGGCTTCTGTTCACATCTCTCGGTAGGTTTGAAGGGCACGATGGCAAAGTGCCCCCAGGTCACGGCGTGCAAGGGAGCCCATGAAAGACACTGTGAGTCAGAACAGCTTGGTGGTTCGAGGACAGCTCCATGCCGCAGTTGCAGTCCCTTGCTCTGGAGAAGCCACATGTCTCTGGCCTGTCCATGCCCCGCTCTTCCAGAGCATTGCAGGCACCAGCCCGGTCTCCGATGAATAAGTAATATGCTAAAAGCGGGGCGGGGGGGGGGATTCTCTCTCTTTAATGGCCCTTGCAGGCCACAGAGCAGTAATTGTCCCTTGAATGATTTAGGCCCATTTGGTCTCTCCTGAGAGGCTCTGGAAGGAAAGGGGCGAATTGCTCTCCAGACCCTTTCAGCAAGTCCCCCGGTTGTGCCAGGCCAGCCGCGGTGGAGCTCGCCGCAGCCAGAGGGGCCGGGGGACCAGTGGAGGGTTCCCGCTCGCGGCCCGTCGGGGCGTCCCCGCGTCACCCGTGTGAGGACACAAGGAGACGGGAGGCTTCCCTGTCATCTCTCCCCCTGCAAGCGCTGCTGAACTGCCGCGGGGACAAGATGCTGCGGGAATCGCCCGTTCTCCAGCCGCGCGTGGCAGGTCGAGGCAGCTGCGCTCACCCAAGAGCAGAGGAGCTGCGACCTCAGGAGCGTCCTTGTGAAGCAGCCTGCCATCCTGGCGTCCCAGAGTCCAGGACAGAGGGATATTCAGGGGTCAAGATATTCAGGTGTAAGCCAAGCTGGCGAGTGCCATAAATGGCTCCCACCTCCCTTTTCGTCCCTGTTTGCTGCCAGCGCATCTCCGGGTCTGTGGGTCTCCAACGTGTCCCACCACCCGTCTTGCTGGCTGCCGTCCGCTAAAGCTGTGCTCCGGGCAGAGGGAGCGCATCCCTCAGTGGGGACATGCGGTCAGAGGAGATGCTAGGGAGGGAAAAGGGCACAGGGAGGGATCTGCAGCACAGACCCCCCCACTATTGCAAGAGCTGCTGCCAGGGTGCTCGTATGCACCAGCCCCGCCTGGGTGCTCAGCGCTGTGGCTGTGGCTTGTCTCTGTACAGCTATAAAGCATATTGCAGGAAGCAGAGCTGGGGACAGGGGCTCCGGCCTCCTGGCTTCTATTTCCAGCTCGCGGTTTTACTTTAGCTCAGCTGCTTACCCCCGCCCCCGTGCCTCAGTTTCCCCAGGAGCAGCACAGGATGCTGGCGCATGCTAGGCCTGTCGCTCAGGACAGCCGTGAGGACTAATTAAGCCGTGCTGCCGAGCATCCTTGTCCCTCGGGGAACGGGGGGGGGGAGAGACAGCGGCTCTCCCTACCCTGACAGGCCTGTTCTGAGCAGTGCCCCCTGCCTCGAGAGATGCCCCCACCCAGCAGCCATCTCAGCTCTGTCACGGGGACGGTGCTGCTATTATAGGGCAAAGGGGCAGTAGAAGCACCTCATGCCCGCCGCACCAGCCCCAAACCAGCAGCCCCCGGCTCAGCGATGGAGGGACCAGCTCAGGGGGCCCAGCACCACTGAGGAGTCTGGGTGTGGGCTGGAAGGGGCAGAGCCGCGTGCAGACCTGCCCGGGTCTGGGCAGCCGTGGCTGGGGTCACAGCGTTGAGGTGGGATGGAGCGAGGGAGCAGACATGCAGCGTGGGGAAATGGACCACTGCCGGCGCAACAGTGATGCTGCAAGGCCACGGCCACGGCGGGAGCTAGTGCAGCCCTGCTCTAGCAGCTGGGGACTGGACAGGAGCCATCCGGGGGGGTATGGACCAGCAGGGACCGTGCCACCGCCTCGTGCCAGTGCAGTGCTGGAGAGGTCCCACAGCATGGGGGCTCTGGGGAGCAGGTCACCAGGCTGCCCACAGGCCAGGTCCTCCAAAGAGCTCAGCCTGCCAGGTCCACGATGAGCACAGGCCACTTTTGACCTGTGGCCACGAAGTGGCAGCGTTCAGGCCCATGTCCCCCCCGGGTCCATTCATGCTCTGGGCTCCTGCGGTGGGGACAAGCCCCAAACTACCCAGCTATGGAGCACCTTAGGCAGAGCCGCATCAGGGTCGAGCCAAGGGCAAGGCAAGGCTGGCGAGGCTGCCTGCGCCGTGCGCCCTGCCCAGTGCAGATGGGCAGTGGGTGCGAGCGCGCCGAGCGCCCGGCCTGCAGCCGGGGAGCTGTCCAGCGCGGGACGGCCGTGGCTGTAACGGGCACCTTTCTGCTCTGCCGCCGGAGGCTGTTTGGAGCCAGACCCTAGGGCTGGGGCCCCTCTGGGCAAAAGAAAGCCCTGGGAAACTGTGAAGGGAGGAGGCTTTTCTCCAGTGAGTCACAGGCCTGGGAAGCCCCCAGGAGAGAGAAGGGCACGCAGAAGAGGTCTGACTTTGCCTAGAGCAGAAGCCTGGCTGCAACCCTCCCCGCAAGACAGGGCAGCCCTGTCCCGACCCCCGCCGGCCCTCAGTGCCCACCAGAGGGGATGGAAGCCATGAAATACGTCCAAAACAAGGCGGTGGGTTCACCTGGCCTTGACCTGCTTCCCCGGAGCTGAGCTGCAGCAAAGCACTGGGTGTTGCTGGTGCCATTTTGTTCTCCAGGAGCCCTAGCTTCTGCCCGCCCAGCTCCACGCCAGCTCTGCACATGCCGGGAGACCTGGGCTTTGCCCGTGGGGATCTGGGGCATCGGTGCTGCCGTCTCATCCGGGCCACTCTCCCCAACGACCCTGATCTGGGGAGACCTCCCTTCCCAGGCAGCCTCCCTGGCCCTTCGCCGCTGCGCTGCTGCACCTCCTTCCTCCCTCGACGGACCCGACGGCATCACCCCATCCCACGGCTTGAAAGGAGTGGGGTCTCCATGGGCCCCCGGCCCTGCTCCTGCCAGCGGCCATCCCAGCGTGCCCCAGGACCAGCGTTACTAGAGACGCCCGGTGAATTCAGTCCCCTGGTTCATTTGGGATCGGGTTTTGCCCCCGCTGGTTTCCTCGGCGCAGGATCCAGCTCTTCCTGGTGGGATGCGATCGTTCTGCCCCGTGGCTGCCCCTCAGCCCCAGCCTGGATGAAGCCCTGGGTGCTGGTGTGGGCCAGAAAGGCAGGTAGGTCCTTGCCGTCTGGGGACTTGGAGTCACCTGCCTGGGCTGGGCTGGGCTGCTCTCCCGCTGCTGCTTGGTAGAGGTGGTGCAGTGAGCCTGAAAACCTGCATCCCTCGCGTTGCATTTGACCCCCCCGTCATGCCAACGAGCCGAGCGCTGGAGGACACCTGGGCACGGGATCTTGGCGCATTCCCATCTGGCAGCAGCCGGGAGGAGGGTCTACAAGCCCCCCCAGGCTGGCGAGGCAGCGGCGACGTTGCCTCGGCCCCCTCCCCGGTTCCCTCAGACCTCAGCTAACCCCGCGCAGCCTGCCTCCCATGCAGCCGGCTCTGCAGGACTTGCACGGCCACTCCCTGGGACTGGGCTTCGTGTCACCGCGTCCCCCGAAGCAGTCTTGTTCCCTGCCACGAGCTGCCCCCATTGTCCTCCTGCCCTGGCCAGCAAAGACCTGGATAAGCCACAGAGCGAGCATTGCCACAGGAGCTGGACGTGCCCGTCCCCCGCAAGCAGCCCCGTGCCCCCCGAGGCGCGGCTGCAGGACCACGAGAACCTCTCCATCCGCTTTTGGGGAGCAGCTGTTTTGGGGTGTCTAACCTTGCATCCTGGGAGCCTGGCTGCTCCCCCCTGCACAAATAAGTGCAGTGTGGGCTAGGTATGGCAGGATCCCATGCCCAGCAGGGAGGACGTTGTTCCCTGGCACACCCCATGGGTCTTGCCCCCGTTCCCTCCATGGCAGAGACGAGCAAGGACCCTCTTCTCCTTGCAGCCAGGGAGCTGGCCTCCCTGCACAGCCTCCCACTCCACCCGGGAACTTCCCCCGCCGGCCGAGCAGCACCGCAGCCGTGCCCGGCTGTCTCCCCACCCAGCGCCTTCAGCCAGGGTGAGGGGGAGCGTGAGCGCCGCATGGCTGTCCAGCCAGAGCCGCCGCGACGGGGAGAGGGCATTGCGCTCGCCCCTCCTCGCCTCTCCTGTGACTGCAGGCAAGCAGGATTTACCGCAGGGGTGCTGAGCAGAGCGATGCAGCGCCCAGCTGCCAGCGCCGTGAGCACGGCCTAGCAGCGCCGATGCGCCACTGGCACCTGTACCACCGCCCCACCCAGCCGGCCGCCGCGGACGCTCACCCTGCCCACCGCCACGAAGGGTAGGGGGCATGGGCAGAGCACCAACTCCCCCAGCCCCTTCGCACACCCCCTGCACAGACTGCATCCAGTCACCACCCAGCGCCTGGGAGAGCCCCACGCACGGGGGCGGGGGTGGGTGCCAGCTGCACCCTTCTCCCATGGAAAGAGACTCCGGGTTTAAACGAAGAAGGGGGGAAAAGTAAGTGAGAGCCCCACAGCTTGCCTCGGAGACGCGACACCCCCCAAGCAGACGGGCGGAAACTGCGTAGACCCCAAGGAGCTGTCCTGCTTTCCAGGCAAGGAGGAAGAAGGCAGCTCCCGCAGCCGGGGGCTTCCTAGCCCAGCCCCTGTCTTACAGCTCTGGAAATGCCAGATGCTCCAGGGCAGCAAACCCATTGCTACCTCTGATCGGGGGTCTTGGGTCTCAGCCCTCCACCGATGGAGCCAGCAACTCACCGTGCTGGTGGGAAGAGCGAAAGGCCAGCTCTCCGGGAAAGGCGGGCGGGCGGCCGGAGTCTTCCTCCCAATCTTCTGCGGATCCTATTAGAGTGAGGAGCGTCTGGGAATATCAGCCTTCAGAGCCCTTCCCATGTGTGTGTGCGTGTGCGAGTGTGCGAGTGTGTGTGTGTCTCTGGTGAAGGCAGCCTCAGTGCAGCAGCTGCTGCTATCAGTATAAAATGCATCACAAAGACCACCATAGACCACTACTCCCCCCCCTAAAATGACTGTGACGTCTGAAGTGCAAGGAAGCCAGGGCTGCTTAACCCTCTGCTTGCTGGGCTGCCTGTGCTTTGGGAGGGCTGCAGCGGGTCAGCTCTGAGGGCTGCGGCTGTGCGGGTCCTGCCCCGGGGCGGGGGGTTGGGCGTCGTGTCGGGGAAGAGGCTGCTGTGGATCGTGGGGTGAGCTCAGGTCTTGCTGCTTCTAAATTTGCCGCTGACTCAGCCCCGGAGGCTGCTGCATCCCGCGGGAGGGGGTGCCTGTCGCCAGGCCCCGCATGCATGCCGAGGGGGCGAGCGGCCTGTTCCTACCGCGCGGGGTTTCCAGCTGTGCTGACATCAGGGAGGCTGGGGTCTCCTCCCGGAGGCACCGCTGCCCGGTGGGGTGACACTGGGAAAGTTGCTTCGTGTCTCTGCCTCGGCTTCCCCTCGCACCTGGAGCCCGATGGGTTTAGACAGACTGCAGGCTCCTCGGGGCAGGGGCTGCCTCTCTCCAGCACTTGCGCGGGGGGGGCTCAGGGCCTCCAGCCGCGAGCATAACCCAGGCAGCCCCCTGCTCAGTGCAAGCCAGCCGGGCATCTGCGGCTCGTCCCCGCCGGCACCCTCTGGTCCCCGCTGCGGCTCCACAGCTGGCAGGGGAGAGGCCGCGCAGCTGCTGCGGAGGATCAGCTGCCCGCTGCCAGGCGCAGAGCAACTGTCTGGGCTGGGGCGGCCCTGGGAATATCGCCTGGTCGACCTTGTGGCCTTCCCGGAAGCGCTGGGATCCTGTTTTGCTGCGTTATTCGTGGTCGAGTCGTACGTTCTTGTTCCATAGGTTGTACCTCCAATGCCACGCGGTGGGCACAGTCCCCAGCCCCTGCGCCGCGGTTTCCTTTGCTGGCCGAGCACTCCCGCTCTCGCTCCACGCGTGGAAGGAGCAGGAGAAGAGTGGCCGGCATGCCTGCGGGAGGAGACCAGGGCCCTGTGGCAAGGCTGGGAAGCAGGTGAAGTGTCTGGGACGCTTGTTCGTGGTGCCAGGAGCCTGCGGGCAGGTGGCGGGACAGGAGGATCTCCAGTTCACTCGTATGGAGAGCGTGGCACAGAGGCCTCCCAGCCCACAGCGCCGGCTCCCAGAGCAGCTGGGGGTGGCATGGCCTGGGCTCAGAAGGGCTGAGCGGGGATGAGAGGTTTGCACCTCCTCGCTGGGCAATTCCTGTGGTCTGTTTGGGGTCCAGCTCCCCTGCAAGGGCTTGTCTCGCCTCCCCGGGAGGGCTCTGACACCCCACTGACCAGGGTCATCTCCTACCCATGTGCTGCGTACATGGCGGTCCCCTGGCTCCAAGGGTGCAAGGACCCGCACTCCTCTCCGCACTCCTGCCCTCCCATCCCTGCTCCAAACCTTTGCTCTTTCCACTCCCCTCTCCCTTCCCTCCCGTGTGCCTCCACCTCCTCCCGTCAGGTCTGCTGGCCATGGCTCCCTGCAGCTCCCATCACAGCCTGGGAGCAAAGGAGACTGCCCAGGCGGGGGTCCGGGGCCCTTGGCTCCTAGGGGCTGCACTGCAGTGCTTTCCCACCCGGCCGGGCCCTCGAGCCCATGCTGCGATGCGGTGCTATTGCCGTAGATGTGGGGCTTGAAGGCTCCAGCGCTTTCCTGTGGGCTTTTCCAGGCTAGCATCTCCCTTTTACACACCCGGCTGTAGCTAAACACAGAGCATCACTACAGTCCCGGGAGAGGCCGGCCCATCTTCTGGCCCCCGGGTTGACGCCGCGACGGCAGTCCAAGGCTGGGATGTGGGACAGGGAGCCGGGGTGTGCCCTGGTGCCCTCCTTTAGGATCCCCATGGGGAGACCAGGTGGGGACTGGCCAAGGTCAGTGTGCTCCTGGGCCCGATTCAGCTCCGCCCTTGCGCTGGGTGCAGCTCGGGAAGGCGGCCCACGTGGGTTTGATCGGCTTTGATTAAGCCAGATGCCTTCTGCAGCCCGCCTCTGTGCGCAGCTCAGCCCCCCAGGCCAGAGGAAAGGAGGGGATAGGAGTGTTTCGCACCGGGGGGGCAGCTGACTTAGGCCGCGGCCAAGCGGACTATTGTACGTGGGGACAGGAGCTAGGAGGGGTCTCCCCGTGCGGGACGCAGGTACCATTGGGGTGGCCGGGAGAGCCCAGACTAGGGGACGGGAGCGCTGCAAAGTGCCCCCGGTCCCGCACAGCTGTCCTGGTGCCCACCTCAGGCTCACGCCCAGCCCTGGGGGAAGCGTGTCAGCACCCCGGCCCCCCCCCCGAGAAGCAGGCAGGCCGCCTGCGACTGGCTGGCCCGGCTGCCGCTCACGGCTGTGCCACGAGCAGCTCCAGCCTCGCATTTCCATGGAGACGGCCAATCGCCGTGATATTTTCTCACTCTTGACAGTCCCCCATTCATCACGGCTCAAGCCACCGGGCCGGTTGGAGACACGAAACCAGTTGCTGCTCGTCATGACTAGGTTTAATTGCTTGGAGGGGAGGGAGGGGGCATGGGAGAGGCCAAAAAAGAGGAGGCAAGCCAGCACGGCAGAGGAGCCCCCGGTGCCCCCGAGCCCAGGGAGAGGTGGCTTTGGGGTGGGTAGGAGCAGGGAGGTGACAGGGGTGCTTCTCTGTTACAAGTGTCAGGATCGGCGCAGGAGGGGAGGCGTCGGGGGCATGCAGAGACAGCACGCGGCGCTGGCCACGCAGGGCCCGGAGCTGCCCGTGGGTCTGTATCTACCCGTGCCGACTTGGCGAGCTGCAGTTTGTGGTCTGCGTGTGGCTAGACAGAGCAGAAGGAGGAGCGCGCGCGGCTTCGGAGGATCTGGTCTGACAAAGCCTGGTTGCCGGAGACGCTCCGTGGCTTTTCACGGTGCCCAGCCCCGGGGCAGCCTGGATAGCTGCTGTATTAAAGAGGCGGGGGGAGCAGCGAGGCCTCACCCATGAGAAAGCAGGAGTGCCAGGAGGTAGAGCGGGAGTGAGACGTGGGAGTGTGTCTGGGCAGCGCTGCCGGCAAGAGCAGGAGGGGACGGAGAGGAGCTCTGCAGAGGAGGGAGTGGGTGGGGAAGGCGTTCAGACACTGGGCATCTGTCTCCTTTTGAGACCGGGCCTCTGGTTTGGGCCCGTGAATGTCTCCGGGTTTGACTTGGCGAACGGGAGGAGCATTTAGCAGTCCCATCCCTGCTCCTTTATCGGGGTGCCACAGATTCAGCTTGCCGTTTGTGTCTTGCATAAGACGACGGGCTCTGACGGCGGGGATGTGTGTACCCCGAGGCCCGCTTCCTCCGCGCTGCTGGAGCATCCGGGGGGCTGGCGGACACCTGATGCCCAGTCCAGGCTCTTGGCTGGGTGGGAAGGTTGAAGTCACGGTCAGTGGTTGAAGGCGGCAGATGGTGACACTGAGAGCTGGGAGGAGCTGGCCGCTAACCGGATCCAATGACACTGCAGCATCCACCGCGCGCAGCCCCCTTTGAAGTAAAGCACCTTGCCCTCAAAGCAGAGAAGAGAGAGTGAAGGAAGGAAAAGGGGCGAAATCCTGGCTTATGGCCTATGGTGTAAAGACCTGCAGCTCCTGTGGATGGATCTGTGGCTCCTCGAGACCCATCGATGAGCGGTGGTGGCAGTCGTCCTTGAATCGAGGAATTGGCGCCGCCAGCAGCGAGCCAGCAACCCCCGAAGGAAGGGTGCTCCCCCTTCCTTCAACGGTGCCTTTGCACCGAGCCTAGCCACTGCCTTGGACCAAATGTGGTGGCGCGTGAACCAAACCCACGATCCTCCGAGGTCCCTTCCAGCCCAAATGTCTACTGTCTATGAAAACCCGTCCTGAAACCAGAAGGGCAGAGGCCCCATCTCCTGAGGCTTGCCCCAGAGATTCATCATGCATTTTAATGGCCTGCATTACGAGGCGTGCATTGTCTCTGCCCTAGGATCTTCCCCATCTGCTCAGCAGCCCAGAGTCCAAGATACGAAGAACCTGGCCGGCTAAATTTGCTGAGAGGACAGGGATGGGGGGCAGCCCGGAGACTAGAAAGGTGGCGCCGTGGCTATGAGCGAAGGGGGACCAGTGAGGCGACCCCGCGTGCGGCTGTGTTGCACGGCTCGTGTCTCCTCTGGAGCGGGCTGAGCCCCTGGGGCAGCCGAGGCTGCGAAGGAAGGGCTGGTAGAGGACGTCGCTGCCCCAGTCGGTGGGATCCAGGATTTCTGCAAACTACACGTGCGTCGCATCCCGGAGCTGCAGGGGTCTCACACGGTGGGAGGCCTAAAAGGTGCTTTGGGTTTTGCGCGCTAGAGCTAGCCAGAGCAGTCACCGCCCTGTCTGGACGCGGGGCAGGCATGTAGCGTTATTAGCACTGAACGCACCGACCTTCCTGGGCTTTCGTAGCTCTGAAACGGCCTCCCCAGCCCACGCAGGTGGTGGTGGGTCTGCTCGTAGAGGGCAGCGTGGTCTGCTGTGGCGGTCTGGACCTGGGGTCTGTGCCTGGTTTTGCTACCGTGGGTGAGTTGCTTCCCTCTGCGTGTCGTCTCCCTCCTGCCCTCTCTCTTGTCTGTTGAGATTATAAACTTGGGGGTGGAGAAAGAATTACCTTGCCCACCAATCCCCAGACCTTAATGAGCGCGTGCTAATGAGCATCTGTGCACTAATGAGCATCCTAATGACCTCGGCTCCTTATCTGCACTATGACCCAAGTGTCCCCCATCTCAACTCCTGTACGACCAGCTGGCTCCTCGTCCCGCACCCGGCACAGACCTGTTCTGCACAGAGGCCGGAGAGGAGCCAGGTTGCAGAAGCGCACCCATGCTTGATCCGCTGTGGGGGCCGGCTCCTCTCCTGGTCTTGCCCTTGCTGTCTCTGGCTCCCATGGCCTGTCTTTCCTGCGCTGTACCGTGCCGAATGCCATCTTGTATCATGCTTCTTCTATGCACCTGCTCCAGGGAACCGCCTGGGTCTACCACACGCAGCGTGACCCTAGGATCTGCTGTGATCGGCCGGGGAAGAGGCTCAAATCCTAAGGAGCGTCTCTTCCTTT